ATTTTATATTTATATTATATTATATTATATTATATTATATTATATTATATTATATTATACTCTATTCGATTATACTGTATTATACCTTTAATATTTAATATATTTACTAAAATTTTATATTTGTATTTATATTTTTATTTATATTTATAGTGTGTTTATATTTTTACTATATTATATTTGTATTATAATTTTATATATTCTGTTCTATTCTATTCTATTGTACTCTAGTCTGTTACACTCTATTATGTATTTAGTATTTAATGTACTTACTATCATTTTGTATATATATTTGTATTTATATTTATAGTGTATTTCTAATTTTATATTTTATATTAGAAATGGTTTTGGTTTTTGTTTCTTTATTTGGGTTTTTTTTGTATTTCTATTTTAATCCTGCCAGGCCTCATCACGGAGGAGTACCTGAGCGAGGAGGAGCTGGAAGAGGCGAGTTTCTTCAAGCCCTCCAACTTCGTGGGGGTGGTGTTCAAGGACTCCATGTCCTACCAGCTGCGCTTCCGCGACTCCATCGCCATGTCCTCCGTCCACACGGAGTCCCGAGGTACAGCTGCAGGGCAGTCAGCTCAAACCGCTCCCACGTTTGCATTTTTGGGGTTTTCCCGCCTTGGTGTAGCGGTTGTGGGGGTTGTTGGTGCTGTTGTCAGGGAGTGAGGCAGCTGTAACTCAGTTTTTTTGAGATTTTAACATGGAATTGTGGCTTGGAAGGGCTCCTGAAGGTGATTATTCCCTATTCAATGGTGAATCCAGATAGTAATAATAATCCAGAGGTAAACCTGCAGGGGAATAAGCTGGAAAATCATCCCATATTTTCCTTTTCTGACTTTTTTCTGGCCTGGTGTTGTGTTTGTGGGGGTTGTTGGTGCTGTTATCAGGGAGTGAGGCAGCTGTAACTCAGTTTTTTGGGATTTTAACATGGAATTGTGGCATGGAAGGGCTTCTGAAGATGATTATTCCCTATTTAATAGCAAATCAAGATAGTAATAATAATCCAGAGGTAAACCTGCAGGGGAATAAGCTGGAAAATCATCCCATATTTTCCTTTTCTGACTTTTTTCTGGCCTGGTGTTGTGTTTGTGGGGGTTGTTGGTGCTGTTATCAGGGAGTGAGGCAGCTGTAACTCAGTTTTTTGGGATTTTAACATGGAATTGTGGCATGGAAGGGCTCCTGAAGATAATTATTCCCTATTTAATAGCAAATCAAGATAGTAATAATAATCCAGAGGAAAACCTGCAGGGGAATAAACTGCAAAATCATCCTGAATTTTCACTTTTGGGGTTTTTTTTGGCTTGGTGTTTTATATATTGGTTTGTGGGGGCTGTTGGTGCTGTTATCAGGGAGTGGAGCAGCTGTAACTCAATTTTTTGGGATTCTAGCATGGAATTGTGGCATGGAAGGGCTCCTGAAGATGCTGATTCCCTATTTAATAGTAAATCCAGATAGTAATAATAATCCAGAGGTAGAGCTGCAGGGCAGTCAGCTCAAATCGTCACATTTGCATTTTTGGGGTTTTTCCTGCCTTGGTGTAGCGGTTGTGGGGGTTGTTGGTGCTGTTATCAGGGAGTGGGGCAGCTGTAACTCCGTTTTTTGAGATTTTAACATGGAATTGTGGCATGGAAGGGCTCCTGAAGATAATTATTCTCTGTTTAATACTGAACCCAGGTAGTAATAATAATCCAGGTGTAAAGCTCCAAGGGAATAAGCTGCAAAATCATCCCAGATTTTCCTTTTTTTGGGTTTTTTTTTTGGCTTGGTGTTTTATATATTGGTTTGTGGGAGTTGTTGGTGCTGTTGTCAGGGAGTGGGGCAGCTGTAACTCAATTTTTTTGGAATTTAACATGGAATTGTGGCATGGGAGGTCTCCTGAAGATGATGATTCCCTGTTTAATAGTAAATCCACATAGTAATAGTAATTACTACCTGGAGGTAAATCTGCAAAGGAATAAGCTGGAAAATCATCCCATATTTTCATTTTTTGGGTTTTTTCTGGCCTGATGTTGTGTTTGTGAGGGTTGTTGGTGCTGTTATCAGGGAGTGGAGCAGCTGTAACTCAATTTTTTGGGATTTTAACATGGTATGGCCTGGCTTGGAAGGGCTCCTGAAGATGCTGATTCCCTATTTAATAGCAAATCAAGATAGCAATAGGAATCCAGAGATAAACCTGCAGGGGAATAAGCTGCAAAATCATCCCACATTTTCATTTTTTGGGCTTTTTTGGCTTGGTGTTTTATATATTGGTTTGTGGGGGCCATTGGTGGTGTTATCAGGGAGTGAAGCAGCTGTAACTCTATTTTTTGGGATTTTAACGTGGCATGACCTGGCTTGAAAGGGATCCTGAAGATGCTGATTCCCTATATAAAAAAATCATCCCACATTTTCATTTTTTGGGCTTTTTTGTCTTGGTGTAGCATATATTGTTTTGTGGGGGTTGTTGGTGCTATTACCAGGGAGTGGGGCTGCTGTAACTGAAATTGGGCCATTGGTGGTGTTATCAGGGAGTGAAGCAGCTGTAACTCTATTTTTTGGGATTTTAACGTGGCATGACCTGGCTTGAAAGGGATCCTGAAGATGCTGATTCCCTATATAAAAGTGAATCCAGATAGTAATAATAATCCAGAGGTAAACCTTCAGGGGAATAAGCTGCAAAATCATCACAAATTTTCCTTTTTTGGCTTTTTTTTTGGCCTTGTGTTGTGTTTGTGGGGGTTGGTGGTGTTATCCGGGAGTGGGGCAGCTGTAACTCAATCTTTTGGGATTTCAACGTGGAATTGTGGCGTGGAAGGGCTCCTGAAGATGATTTTTCCCTGTTTTCCCTGCAGCCACGTGCTCCAGCCTGCGGGAGAGCTGCGAGTCAGTGACCTACTGGAGCTCGGGCTTCACGGCCCTGCAGGCCTGCATCGATGCTGCCATCATCCAGGTGAGAAACCCCCCAAAATCCCACCAAATCCCACCAAATCCCACCAAACAGGGCTGGGAACACCAACCCTCTGAGGAGCCACTGAGGGAGCTGGGGGTGCTCAGCCTGGAGAAAAGGAGACTCAGGGCTGCCCTCCACACCCTGCACAGCTCCTGAAAGGTGCCTGTGCTCAGCTGGGGCTGGGCTCTGTCTGCAGCAGCACTGACACAGCCAGAGCACACAGCCTGCAGCTGCACCAAGGGAAATACAGGTTGGATATCAGGAAAAAGTGTTTTACAGCAAGGGGGATGAAGTTCTGGGATGGCTGCCCGGGGAGGTGGTGCAGTCACCACCCCTGGGTGTGTTTAACAAAGCCTGGATGTGGCACTGGGGGCCAGGGTTTGGGTGAGGGGTTGGGGCTGGGTTGGACTCAGTGCTCTTGAATGTCTCTTCCAACCTGGTGACTTTGGGAATTCTGTGAAAATCCCACAAAATCCCATTCAATCCCATCCTCACCCCAAGGAAGGGCACATCCAGGGGCTGCTTAATCTGCTGTCAATCCTGGGAGATGCTGTGTCAGATCCCAGCTGGGATCTGATGAGAAGGCAGAAGTTTTGGGGTGCGTTTGGCCATACTTTGTCCAGACTGTTTTGTCCAGGTACCACTGGGGAAATCCCATAAAATCCCATCCTCACCCCAGAAAAGGGCACATCCAGGGGCTGCCTGAGCTTCTTAATCTGCCTGTCAGTCCTGGGAGATGATGTGTCTCAAATCTCAGCTGGGATCTGATGAGAATTCAGAAGTTTTGGGGTGGGTTTAGCTGTATTTTGTCCAGGACTATTTTGTCCAGGTACCACTGGGAAAATCCCATCAAATCCCACAAAATTCCATCCTTACCCCAAGAAAGGGCATATCCAGGGGCTGCCTGCTAATCCTTAATCAATCTGTTAATCCTGGGAGATTATGTGTCTCAAATCTCAGCTGGCATCCGATGAGAAGGTGGAAGTTTCCCAGTGGATTTGGCCATGTTTTGTCCAGGTACCACTGGGAAAATCCCACAAAATCCCACTAAATCCCACCCTCATCCCAAGAAAGGGCAGATCCAGGTGCTGCCCAGGATTCTTAATGTGCCTGGAGATGCTGTTTCTCAAATCTCTGCTGGGATCTGATGAGAAGGCAGAAGTTTTGGGGTGGGTTTGGCAATGTTTTGTCCAGGACTGTTTTGTCCAGGATTTCCCCAATCCTGTTGTGTTGGATTATGAGGATTTTTGTCTCCATTTGCATCCCAGAGGTGCTGAATATCCAGCACATCCCTCCTCAGAACACAAATTCACACTCCAAAATGCCATTCCAAGCAGGGGCTGTAGAATTTACATTATTTTGCTGCCACTATTGCTCAGCAATTTTTCCCAATTTCCCTCCCCTCACCCTGCTCATGGTGGCAGCAAATTCCATCTTCTTACGTGTCAGAAATTCCACATTTCCTCATTTTATTCCCAGGCATTCAGGTGTTTTCCAGTCTTGCTTTTGGCCTGGAATTTGGGGTCAGGAAGGTTTTGGCCTCTCCAGATCTCCCCCTGCCAACAAGAGTGGAGTGGTTGAAAAATCAGGAAAAATATCAAAATAACTTTTCCTCCTCTTCCTTCCAGCTGAAGACAAATCATTCTGTTTGGGAACAGCTGGATCTGACCAGAGCCATGGTTATGGGAGAGGCTGCAGTGGTGGAAATTGATAATTTCCCTCGTGCAATCATTTTAATTTACCTGGTGATTGCATTCTCCCCCTTTGGGTATTATTTGGCAATTCACATCGTGGCAGAAAAGGAGAGGAAGCTGAAGGAGTTCTTGAAAATTTTGGGACTCCATGACACTGCCTTCTGGTATGTGAGTGTTTGGTATAGCCTGCTCCTTATAAAATAATAAAAAAAAAAGAAAATATATGTAAATAAATATTTTAAAATATATTTCTACTTAACGTCTTCCATCCCACCCTCCAGTTCTTAAATTTTTTACAGTCTTTAAGTGAAAGCAATCAAAAATTAAAATATTCTCTGCAATCAAATAGAGACACAGTACCATGAAAATATGAATATTTTAATAAGTAATCCTGCTGCATTTATTCATGTAAAGCTACGCCAGATTAGAGGGATTAAACCTCATTAAGTGTGAGGTTTTATGGAGGTTTTTAAGCATTTTTGGCTCGCTACCTCCTTTCCTAGAAGCCCAACAGGTAACCTGCAGCCTGGCACATAATTAAATTAATCCAGCTCTGTAATTTGAACGTGCCAGAGCAGTCTCAGCAACAGGTTTCCAGTTGTTTCCTCACCCTGATGAAAATTGGCCTGGGCAATAGAATATTTCATTTTTCTCTCAAATGATGTGTTAATTTGAAGTCATTGATAGCTGAGGGGTTAAAAACTGGTTTTGCTTTGCTCTTTCTGGCAGGGTTTTCACACCTGCACTGAAACAGCCACCTGGGGTGGTTGGAATGGTTTTTTTGTAGTTGTTGCAGAGGAAATGTGTCATTTTTTGCTACCTGGACACAATCCACCCCTGTTTGCTGAGGTCAGAGTTGCTCCCAGACTCACAGCTCTGTTTTTCAACAGAGCAGGGTTTTATTACCCTGCCCAGCAGCCTGTATTAAATTTTAAACAGAATTCCTTGAATTATTGAAACCTACGACTCTGTTACCCTCTTTTGCCTATACCAGGAAATTAATGATGCAAAAAATAAGGGTGAATCACCTGACTGTGCATCTTAGCTGCCCTGGGTCTCACTGTGTGCTGAGAACAGCCCCAGGATGTTCACATCAGCTCTTTTATTCAGGTTCTGTGTACAAACAGCTCTTTTATTCAGGTTTTATTGCACACTTGCCCTTCAGTGCAGTGAGACATAGAGTTAGAAATTAACTTGAGGTAGAAGTCTGTGTGGAATATTAAAGAGTGCTGGGTTTTGCTGTTTGTGTGGCTGGGGATTCATTCATTTTTCTGGTTTTTTCTCCCTAGGCTGTCCTGGGTGCTGCTCTACATGAGCCTGATTTTTGTCATGTCCATCCTGATGGCTGTGATTGCCACGGCCTCGTCCCTGTTCCCCCAGAGCAGTGCCTTTGTCATATTCCTGCTTTTCTTCCTCTATGGAGTCTCCTCTGTGAGTATTCCTGGTCCTGAGCAACCCAGCCACCCCATCCCTGGCGCTTGGATTCTTTTATTCCCTGATTTGTTCCCTCTGCCAAAATATTTGTTGTTTCTGTAGGGTTGAGCAGTGCTGGGAATCTGAGCTGTCCCAGCCCTTCCTGGGGTTTTCTCCTGCTTTTAGGGTTTTCTCCTGCTTTTAGGATGTTGTACAGGTGTCACCCATCACCATGAAAACTGCTTTTCCCTCCTGAAATATCTGAGTTTATAATCATCAGGTTTTGAGTTTTAAACCCTCCACAGAACGATTATTTAGTCCAGATCCTCCTCAAAACATTTCCTGTTACTACAGTTTAATGCTAAGAACTTATTAAACAGTGAATGATAAAAAATACATGATAAATATATTTATGTATCCAGTTACTTGCCTGAGTTGATAAGAGGAACAGTTGGAGTCGATCTTGAAAAACTTCTCCAGCTGAAAATTATTCCATGAATCTGTGCTGTAGTGACTATACCAGGAAAATTCTATTATAAATTATATGATTGTCAGAGGCAGCCATGGTATTTTCCCTTAGTTTTTCTACACAATTTCTATATTATTATTATTATTACTATGGTATTTTCCCTTAGTTTTTTCACACAATTTCTATATTACTATTATTATTACTACTATTACTGTTACTATTATTACTACTACTATGGTATTTTCCCTTAGCTTTCCCCCACAATTTCTGTATTATCACTATTATCACTATTATTATATTATATTATTATTATTACTACTATTATTTTTACTACAGTGCTTTCCTCTCTGTTTTTCCCTCTGCCCTCAGGTTTTCTTTGCCCTGATGCTGACCCCTCTGTTTAAGAAGTCCAAGCACGTGGGGATAGTGGAGTTCCTGGCAACTCTGGTTTTTGGCTTTGTGGGCCTCAACATCGTCCTGCTGGAGGATTTCCCCAAATCCTTCGTGTGGATCCTCAGCCCTTTGTGTCAGTGCAGCTTCTTGATTGGTGTTGCACAGGTAAATCCCCACCTGCCCTTCATGGGGGTATTAAATAGATATTTTATTTTTAATTTTAAAAATATGCTTTTATTTTCATAGCAGTTTAATGTCCAGCACCGTAAAGGAGCTGTTATTCTTTGTGTCCTTTGTGATCCCAGTCACTTTCTCATTATTTTTGGGGTTTTTTGCCAAGTTTTTTGCCATGTTTTGGGGTTTTTTTTTTGCACGGTGCTGTTTTGCCTTTAGGTGTGTGACATCTCTCCCTGCAGGTCATGCACCTGGAGGATTATGAGGATGGGGCAACGTTTGCAAACATCAATGCTGGTCCTTACCCTCTCTGTATCTCTCTGATTCTCCTGGTGCTGGACAGCATCTTTTACCTGCTTGTAGCTGTCTACCTTGACCAGGTGATCCCAGGTAGGTTCCTGACAGACACTGGGCACTGGGAGGATCATCCTGAAATCCTGAGCCCCCCAGGCTGGTGCCATCTCCTCCTAACCCTAACCTTGACCCGAACCCTAACCTTAACCCTAAATTCTCTGGAGAAAGGAGGTGATGCTCTTTCCACATTGAATTTTGCACTTCTGGCTGAAATAATTTATATTTTGTTAAAGCTGTGAGGTGTGAGGAGGGGTTTTAGCCTGGCCTTAAAAAGCTTAATTTTCCCCTGTTTCTAGAGGAAAAACTTCCTTGCTGAGTTAACTACAACCTCAGCCTTTCCAATTTCCTCTTGGAGGGCTGGAAATCAAAGACTGCTCTGCCTCTTCCAGATCTCTCCTTGTGGCAGAAGAAGTTGAGCCTAAAACACAGAATAAAGTTGTTAATCTTGGGATTAAGAGCTGGTTAACCCCCTCAGCTCTGTTCACTTCCAGCCCCTCTCTTTTCTCACTGCCACTTTTGAGTCACTGCTCAGTCAGCACTGGGGATTTCTCTGGGATAGAAGGAGGTTTGCACATTTATTTATTTTAAATACTCAGCAAAAGTGGAGCCTGCCAGCAGAGGGGATGGGGAATAATGGCTTAAAGGGAAATTTGGCTGATGGAATTCCTCAGGAGCAGGTGTGGGTTGGCTGTGGCAGGAGCTCAAAGCCCAGAGCTGAGGTTTATATCATATTATAATATAATATACAATATTTGTGGTTGCTGCTGAAAGCCGCTGTTGTTGCATTATTCACCCACCCAGGACTCTTCCCACATCATCCCTCCACCAGCTCCAGCATTTTCACTGTCTTGCCATCTTTCCATGTTTTTTATTTGCTTTCCTTCTCATTCCCTTCCCCATTACTCACCCTCCATAATCCACTCACCATCCTCATTTTCAGGGTGATGAGGCCTCCAAAATCCGTCCTGGATTTGATACCTCTGGATAAACTGGCTGTTCTTTTCATTTGGAAAAACAGCTGGGCTGGAAGGAAGGATTTTACCTCTCTTGAAAAGAGAAATATCTGTTTTCTTCTACCTGATTTTGACCAAGAGCTGTCAGGAATCACATCTTTGGAGTCCTTTCTGCTGTCTCCTCTTTTCCATGCCGTGTCTGTGGAGTCTCCTGTTGCTTTGTGCAACTGCTGGGGAGTAGCTGTTCCCTTTCCTAGCTTGGGAAGCCTCTAAAGCATTGCTCCACCATGTGAAATAGACTCAGATTTGAAATAATTCAATTTATCATCACAGAAAATACCTTAGGAGGTGACCAGGAGAAGCTTTATGATGCTAGGGTGGAGATGGGCAAAGTTTTGAGAGAGCCTGTCCTGTCTCTTGACTTGCCTCAATGATTTTTTTACACATCTGGTGCCACTTTGGTCTGGTTGGCTTGTTGTAATTGTTGTTGAGTGTTGATGACTGAAAGTGCCATGTAAAGGTGCTGAAATAGTTCATGTGTCTTCTTTCAGAATCAGCTGTGTTCAGAAAACATTCATGAAAAAGGGGGAAACCGTGGAGGCTCTCAGAAGTAAGAACATATCAGCTTTTTAGCTGCTGGTGGGATGCACAGGGGCAGTGGCTGAGTTGCTGAGTGATTTTTGGGTTTCAGTTCAGGCTGGTTTTAGTTTCTTTTGGAGGGGTGGGGCCCTGGAGCACCAATGCCAGACATGCTTGTGTGTGTCCTCTCTCATACAGTGGTGTCTAAACCAAAAATGAGCCCTTCATCCCTAAGGAAAGCCTGCTGGCATCACCCCAATTCCCACTGCCCATGTAGTGATGTCATCTCCCCTCCCTGATGCTGTCACCTCCCTTCCCTGGGTGGCTTTGAGACGTGGCCACCCCACAGTGGCTGTGGCACCATGTCCTGTCCCCAGACAGAGCGTGAATGTGAGCATTGGGATTGAGCCTGGGCCAGGAGCTGGCTCAGGGGCCAGGACCCACCCTGAGCCCTCCTCTCGCTGTGCCCTGGAGCAGATTTGTCCTTTGACATCTACGAGGGGCAGATCACGGCACTGCTGGGCCACAGCGGCACCGGGAAGACGACGCTGATGAACATCCTCTGCGGGCTGTGCCCTCCCACGGACGGTGAGTGCAGCCCTGGGGCTGCCCTGCTGCACAGCCAGGCCTCACAGCACGGGGGTTGTTCTGGTTATGCACCAGAATTTCTTTGGGTAAAGTCTGAAAGAGCAATTCCTGTCCAGGCAGGGCTGTAAAACCACCTCTGCTGATTGCTGCTTCCAGTGGAGAGTTTCCAGCTGTCCAGGTGTCTGCTAAGGAGGGCAAGAGCCTTCCTTGAAACAGAAAATGTAAACCCCCTCCCTCCAAATTATAATTTTGAAATTAAGGGGCTCTCAGGCAAAGAGGAATAACAGTTCTTTATTAGGAAAATTAAAAATACAAATGCAGTAGTACAAAAAAAAAAAGAAAACAAACCACTGACAGATCAGAAGAGGAGCTGACTCCTGTGGGTCAGGGTGGTGGCACAGCCCCATCCCATGGGGGCTCAGCCCTCCTGCAGTGCCAGCTGTGCTTCTGCTGGAGCAGGAATCCTGCACAAGGGGGGAGTTTTCCTCTGGAGCTCCAGGGCTGCTGGAGATGGGCCTGGTGTTCCTCTGGGAATGCAGGGCAGGGGAAAGCTGCTCCTCTGGGAATGCAGGGCAGGAGAAAGCTGCTCCTCTGGGAATGCAGGGCAGGAGAAAGCTGCTCCTCTGGGAATGCAGGGGGCAGAGGCTGCTGTGCTGTTCCAGGCTCAGATTGTATCCAGGTAGGAATGCTTGGCTCCTGCCCTGGGTGGAGCATCTCCCCATGGAATGATGGAACTTGATCAGCCAGGCAGGGACACTCACTGGCCACGAACAGCAGATAATTAATAATTAATGACCCATAAACAGCAGAGATCTGCTGGAGGGAGGATCGGGTGTGAAGAGATAAAGGAACCAGCCCCATGAACAGCAGAGAACTGCCCCAGCTCTGACAGATGGCAAATAGAACACACACCCCAGCCACACCTCTCAACCCGAGACACCAGCCCATGGCAGGGGGTTGGAGTGAGATGAGCTTTAAGGCCCACTCCAGCCCAAACCCTTGCATGATTTTGTGTTCATTTCCTCTAGGGTTTGTGTCAGTCTATGGGCACAGGGTGTCTGAGATCGACGAGATGCTGGAGGTGCGGCAGATCGCGGGCGTGTGCCCCCAGGCCGACATCCACTTCGACATCTTGACTGTGGAGGAGAACCTCTCCATCTTCGCTGCCATCAAGGGCATCCCTCAGAACGATTTGATACAAGAGGTAACTCACCTGGCCACAGGTGTTGTCTCACATCTATGCTTTTAACCTGTAGATCAAAATATCCTTGCAGGGTTTTCCTTTTGGAGGGAAATATTCCTGTGTGGTTCAGTGGACAAAGAGGTACAGGCAGATATTTAGACAAGGATAAACCTTTAATTTTTCCTAAGATTAAAATGCCCATGAAATGTTTTAAATCTGGCATTTAGGTCCAGTTATAGACACCATTAAACTTTGTGTGCAAGTCAGATACAGAACACACTGGGAACCAGCAGCAGTTAATTTGAATGTTAATTGTTAACAATCTGGTTTAAAAAAATTATAGGTGGTTTTTTTCAAACAAAAATGTATTTCTTGTGTTTTCAAGGTGCAGAAGGTGTTGCTGGATTTGGAGATGCAGCCCATCAGGGACAATCAAGCCAAAAAATTAAGTGGGGGGCAGAAGAGGAGGCTGTCAGTGGGAGTTGCTGTTCTTGGGAACCCCAAGGTGAGAGGGATGGAATTATTCTCAGCTCAGTGTTGCTGATCCACCAAGCCTTCATCATGCTTGTCAAAAGCAACTAATGTGCAAAATGCAGAAATTTTTCCTTTGAGCACTTTTTTTTTCTTCATTTATGGTTTAATTACAATCATTTCAATCTCTCAGCCTTTGTGCTTGAGGCTCAGGTAATGGCATCAGCCTTGGGTTTGATCTCTTTGGAAAATACATAGTGTGGCAATTTTTGTGTTTAATTTCTGGCAGGTAGCATTTATCCCCCAGCAGTGAAATTGTTGGATGCTTTCCTTCCAAAGCCAGGAAGCTGGAAGCAGGAGCAGAACCAGAGAGATCTTTTGTGTTGCAGCTCTGTAATTTCTGGCCTGTGGGGATGGGGACTGCTTTGAGATCTGTGGTTAAAAATGGTGTGTGTGACACTTCCTGGGGGTTTCAAAGCAGGTGTGTGCGTTTAACCACCCCTCAGTAGAAAGAGTGAATCCATGGCTAAGTTGTGATTGTACTACATAATTCTACTGGAAGCAGAATACAGCAGGCTGTGGCATTAATTTATCACAGGATTTTTCCATTTGTCACGAGGGAGATGAATGTATTCCAAGCACAGTGACAAAAGCTGCCTTGTTAGTCTGGGCTGTTTCCTATTTTACAGGAATTAACTGGCTGGTTTCAAACAAACCCCTCTGGGTGTGCTGGGGAGGGATTACTGAGCTCGGGGGCCGTGGCTTTGAGCAGCCCTGGTGGTTTTGCCCCCAGGTTTTGCTGCTGGACGAGCCCACGGCGGGGATGGATCCCTGCTCCCGCCACATCGTCTGGAACCTGCTGAGGAGCAGGAAAGCCAACCGTGTGACTGTGTTCAGCACCCACTTCATGGACGAGGCTGACATCCTGGCTGGTGAGCCCTGCCCCAGCCCAGCTTCAGCCCCCAGCCCTGGGATACCATCGGTGTGCAACCCAGAGCGGGGTTTGGGAGGAAATTGTCCATTTTGTGCTTCCTGACTTTCCGTTCCAGATCGTAAAGCTGTGATTTCCCAAGGGATGCTGAAATGCCTCGGCTCTTCTCTCTTCCTCAAGAGCAAGTGGGGCATTGGCTACCGCCTGAGGTAATTCTGTGCCCAGTTTTGTGCCTCTTAGGTGCCATCATGCATCTCTTTTTTTACTGTTTTCTGTTGGAATCTCTGAGAAAGCACTCCTCAGAAAGATCCTTTTATCCTTGAATTGATGCCTTGGGAAGGCTGAGTTGGAACAGAGGCTGGACAGAGCTACACAATAAAGCAGGGATTTATTCAAAGGATCTCCTCCATGGATCCACCCGGGGCAGCACAAGAGCCCAGCCAGGGCTGCACCCAAGATGAACCCAAATGGTCCCAAAATGCACGAGCGCTGCCGGGGTCTCTCCCTGGGATCAGCTCTGCTCCATGTGCACATTGCAGTTCATTGTCCAGTTCCAGCTGCAGCCCATCCAGTCCCATCCTGCTTGTTTTTCTCTCTCCAGCCCACGGGGTTTGTGCTCTTGGGCTGAGATTTGGATCATTTGTCCTTGTCCCCTGCTAGAACAGGAATTGTTTTGTCTCCCTGCTGTGCAGAGAGCTCAGCATCCCATAATATGAATCTCAGAACTACACACCAAAGCAGCACAGAATCTGAAACATAGAAAAGCTAAATCAGAATGGTACAACTGAACGTTTGGTGCAGTGTCAGGAGCAGGCCAAGCTCTAAACCCCAGTTCCTGCTGTTTTTCCAGCATGCACATCGATGCCTATTGCAACACAGAGGCCACCACGTCTCTGATCAGGCAGCACATCCCTGCAGCCAGCCTGATCCAGCAGAACCACGAGCAGCTCGTGTACACCCTCCCTCTCAAGGACATGGACAAGTTTGCAGGTATTTGTGGGGTTCTGTGTTGCAGGGATCAGTGATTGCAGCAGGGGGTGTTGATTAAGCATGGCTTTAGGCTGGTGTTCTTGATAAAGTGTCAGTTGTGCCTTGATGTTTTTATATTTATTATTATTTGGTGGGGAGTCAGGGAGGGTTTTCTCAGGTGAGTGAGGGTTTTGTCATCTCTTCCAGTGAGGTGTGAGGGTTGTGGGTGCCCAACAGCAAGGGCTGGGGAGAGGAGTGGTGAGGAGTCCCTTCCACCTGAGCATCCTCTGGCAGAGGGTTCCAAAGAGCAGGGCTGACCTGTAGCAGGATGCAGGAAATCCCCAAATACTTCAAAAATCCTACAAAAGTCCTACAAAAACCCTACAAACTCTTGTGAACTGCAAAGAGCATCGTGTGACTGCCTTGAAATTCCATGGAGAGATGGAGAGAGGGAGCAGGGAGCAGAGGGGAGGATTCACTAGATGGCAGCAATTATCTGAGCAGTCCTGGGCAGGACTCCTTGCTCTCCTCCCAGAAATAAATGGAATAAATCCTGTGTGGGAAGCCAAGGCAGCATCAGTATTGATGGGAACATGTAGCTGATATTCCATAAAGGTTTTTTTTCCCTGTTGCATTGGGGTTAGTGATTTATGAGCTTTGCAAAAAGGCTGAGATTTAATCAATTCCCCCAAACTATTTTAGAGAGAAGCTGAGGTTGGGAACACACCTTGTCAGCTGGGACAGGAAAACTGTGGAGGGGTGAGGAGTATGGTCAAATATCCAAGTGCTCCTCCCATTTTATACATTTAAATTTCCCTCCAGCCTCACCTTGGCTCTGAAGCTCCTTTTTTAAAGTCCTGATTCCATAGGATTGACAAAAACCCAGACACATTTTTCACCCCAGGGTGCTGTGAAGTTCTCCCACTCTGAGCCTCACATTGGTCTTCAAGCTCTGTGCCCTGTCCAGCATCTCCTGCCTGGTTAACCTGGCCTTAAACACCTGGGAATTATTTTATAGATCTATATACATGTATATAAACACACATTTTTATATATTTATTGATATGAAATGACTATTAACTTATTTTTAAAGATACAAAACAACTCAGGGGTTTCATTTGTAAAATCCTTTGTGCCTGGGCAGGGATTTGGGTAGGATGAGCTGTCCTGGGTATGATTTTTCCAGGAGAGCTCACCTTGAACCTGCCCTGAGGAAACTTTGAGCCCAGCAGCTTCAGGATTCTGAGACAGATTTTAGAAGCAGCACAACTTCAGCAAAACCACATTTCCTGACCACAGAGGCTGAAATTTCCTGCTAAAAGGAGCCTGTCCCACCTTGGTTCTCAACCACGACCTTGTGGTTTATTTGCCATTCCCACATTCCTGACTTTCCCACCAAGCAGGAGGTGTAGGGGTGTGTGTGATGTTCCTGAAGTGCTCTTGGCAGGTGCTGGAGCAGAGTTTGAGAGCTGCCTCTGCCCCTAGGTTTGTTCTCTGACCTGGACACCCATTCCCACCTGGGGGTCATCACCTATGGCGTGTCCATGACCACGCTGGAGGACGTTTACCTGAAGCTGGAGGTCGAGGCCGAGATTGATCAAGCAGGTGGGAAGGAGCAGGGCTGTCCCCTTGGCTCCCCTCAGTTCCTGTGGGATTGTCACTGCCAGCAGGAGGGAACAAGAGAAAACGTCCCTCACAGGGGGCTCCCCCAGCATCTGGGCATCCTTTGGTTCTCACAGTGTTCCAGGCTGTTGAAACATTCAAATATAATATTCAATATTCAGCATTGTATACTCAATATTCAATATTGTATATTCCATAATCAATTACAAAACACTGCTTAAACTCATAAAGGAGAAGGTAAAGAAGCAGGTAACTTCTGCTTTAAAACTTTTATTTTGTTTTATATATATATTAATATATTTTAATATATATTACTGTATACATATTATATATGTATACTATATATATTACTCTCTATATATTTATATATATATATATTACTGTATATATATGATATTTATATTACTGTATTTTAAAACCCCAAACTCTTAAGTTTTTTACTCTGTGGTATCACACACTTCTAACTAAACTACACACTCATAATCTCAGTGCTATTAATTAATTTGAGAAGCTTTCTCCACGGCCTCAGGTCAAATGCAGTGTTCTCCTGGGGGTCAGAGTCTGTCAGCACAGAAAGTTTAAAATTCTCAATAACCAGGGTTCTAACAGAGGAAAAGGCAGAGAATTGGCTGGGGAGTGATTCTGGGAGCATCCAGGGGAAAGCTTGTTACTGATTAATTATTCATCCAGCCAGCTCACATCTGACTGCTTGGCTTTACAGTTTACTTGCCCTTTTAAATGCCCTTTATTTTCCTAATAGAGTTTGCTTTCAAGAAATTATAAATGTGCAGGGTAGAATTAATTTTCAACCTTTTGTGTGAACAGTAGCTGCACTCAGCTTGTCTCACTTTAAATTAACTTTAAATTAACTTTCAGTCCAAATGAAAAGTTGGGACTGCTTAATATTACTCCAGAATGAGTCAGTTGTTTTTTTAATGTCAGTTTTGAATGGTTTGAGCTGTTTTAATTGTTCTGGAGCTTTCTGTGTGATCCAGAATTATTAGTATGAGTAAATATATGTACTCTGTAATGGAATGGAAATTACTCCCTAATTAGACTGACTGCACAGAGTTTCTGTGTGGGTTTAAGAGGATTTAACAGCTGGATCTGCAGGTGCACACACAGGCCAAGGGAATGAAACTGGGGCAAATCTGCACCTTTTGGTGGCAGAATTTTGAATCATCACATGCCAAGGGTGACTGGGACTGGATGGGGCTGCCCAGGGAGGTGCTGGAGTCTCTGCAGTCTCTGTCCCTGGAGGTGTTGATGGGGTGGAAGTGGCCCCTGGTGCCGGGGTCTGCTTGGTCACAGGCTGGACCCAAGGATCTCAGAGGCCTTTCCCAGCCTTGTTGGTTCTGGGGTTTAAACCACCAGGGTTTGCCAAGGAAATGCTCCTTTATTTCTGCTGTGTCAGCTTGAAGTATCTGCCATGGGTGTGGTTGGGCTGGAGCAGGGTCACTGGCCTTGGGGTTAAATTCAGGGATGGGGATGGGATTGGGTTGGGATGGCTGGAATGGGATGGGATGGAGGATTTGGATGGGATGGGATGGGATGGGATGGGATGGAATGGAATGGGATAGGATCGGGATGGGGAAGGGGAAGGCATTGGGATAGGATTGGGATTGGGATGGGGATGGGATTGAGATGGCTGGAATGGGATGGGATTAGGATGGAGTGGGATGGGATAGGATTGGGATTGGGATGGGATGGTATTGAGATAGGGATAGGATTGGGATGGTTGAGGATTGGAGTGGGGATTGGGATGGAATGGGATAGGATTGGGATTGGGATTGGGATGGGGTAGGATGGGATGGGATGGGGATAGGATTGGGATGGGGATAGGGATGGGGATGGGTGAGGTGACTTCTACAACAGGAAGAGCAGAGAGTCTGGCCCCTGGCTCCCCCTCCTGTCCCATTTCCACCCCCTCAGTCAGGGCATCACCTCCCTGGGTTTTCCCTGCCCCGTTTCAGATTACAGCGTGTTCCACTCGCAGCAAGCACAGGAGGAGATGGACACCAAGTCCCTGGATGACATGGAGCAGAGCCTGCTGATGCTCTCCGAGGCCAAGGCACCAGCCATGAGCAACTCAGCCCTGTGGAAGAAGCAGGTTTCCACCATAGCCAAAGTGCACTTCCTCAGCCTGAAACGGGAGAACAAGTGTGTCAGAGTTATGTGAGTATGGGGCTCCTCCTTTGTGTGGCAGTCCCAAAACCTGGCTGAATGGCACCAGGGAAAGCACATCCTGCCCTTCATTTTTCCCCATTTAAAAAATAGCAAGTGTGGAGCTGTAATTTCTGTCAATAAATGGTTTTTTGGGGGGTGAGGGAGATGGTTTTTTTAATAGCATGCACGTAAAACTGGGTTGGCTTTCACTGGATTGTAACAAACCCCAAACTTTTATTTCTTTCAGGTTGTTGCTTTTCCTCATTTTCCTTGTAGTTCAGATTTTGTTGTTTTTCATACACCACATCATCAAAAATGCTGTAGCTGCTATCAAACTCTCCCCAGATTTGTACTTGCTGAAGCCTGGAGAGAACTATCACAAGTACAGGAGTCGGCTCCTGCTGCAGAACTCCACAGGTAGGGCAGCAGATCCTGTCTCCACCTCTCCCTCTCCCAGATTTTGGGGTTGAGAAGGAACTTTTTTCTTGGTATTAACCCAGATGAAGAGTTTCCGAGTGCCCAGGGGTGGTAAACTGTCAGTTTGTGCTGTGGGGTTTGGTTTGGAGATCCTCCTCCCAGCTCTATGTTCTTGCTGTGTCAGAAGATTCTTCAGGTGAAAGAAGTGGCCAGAAATATTGAGATAAATCAACATGGGAACCCTGCTGGAAAACATCTGGGAAAATCCCTTTTTGTTTCAACTGAGGATGTTTTAAAAGTGCCCAGCAGGACCCCAGGCAGTAGAAACCAGCACTTGCTTGAGCTGTGCATTGATAATTCTGTGTAAAATACTCCAGGCTGCTGAAGAGGAGGGATTTAAAAGACGGGGAGATGTGGCACTCAGGAACATGGCATAGGGGTGGGGTGTGGCTGGATTTCAGAATTTCCAGAATCACCAGGTTGAAAGAATCTTCAAGACCATCGAGTCCAACCCAGCCCCAACCCCTCACCCAAACCCTGGCCCCCAGTGCCACATCCAGGCTTTGTTAAACACACCCAGGGATGGGGACTGCACCACCTCCCCGGGCAGCCATTCCAGAACTTTATCCCCCTTGCTGTAAAACACTTTTTCCTGCTATCCAACCTGTATTTCCCTTGGTGCAGCTGCAGGCTGTGTGCTCTGGGTGTGTCAGTGCTGCTGCAGACAGAGCCCAGCCCCAGCTGAGCACAGGCACCTTTCAGGAGCTGTGCAGGGTGAGGAGGGCAGCCCTGAGTCTCCTTTTCTCCAGGCTGAGCACCCCCAGCTCCCTCAGGGGTTCCTCACAGGGTTTGTGTTCCCAGCCCCTCTGCAGCCTCACTGCTCCCTCTGGACATGCTCCAGCCCTTCCATGTCCCTCCTAAACTCGAGGTGTGCCCTCACCAGTGCTGAGCACAGGGGGAAAAGTGATTTGATGATTTGATGATCCTGAAAGTCTCTTCCAGTTTAAGTAATTCCATGTTGTTTTCTGTCCCCAGAGTCGGATATCAGTGACATTGTGCACTCCCTGGGGAGCATGAACATCCTCTGGGAGATGTACAATGACAGTGATTATGTCTCTGTGGCACCTCACAGTGCAGCTCTGAACGTGTTTGCCCTCCAGTCCAGGCAGGTAAGGCACACGCTGGCTGGGCTGTGCCCAGAGAGCAGCTGCTGGGGCTGCTTTGGGAGATTCTCACCTGAAAAGCAGCTCTGGAGTCATGGAATCAAATAATAGCATATAATATTGCTTATACAAGAGGCCGCAAAGAGGAGAGAGTGGGAATATTAGCAAAATACATGTTATTCCATAATTATAATTAAATCATTATAATTATGTAATTATATCATTACAATAAGCCAATCAAACTTTGATCCCCTTTTCTTCCCCACAAGGACACAGAAAGTCAGGAGAAATATTCTACTTCACAAGACACCTGGCAGAGGAATGTTTTATTATTTTTTTTTAATTTGTACTGACTGAATTACAGCTTGACAGAAATATAATTCCATGATGCTCTTGTGTGTAAAGAAAAATCAGTTTCTTGGGCTGTACATGCTCACAGTTACAGGAATATCTGAACTTTGGGATCATATTTAATCCCCAGCAAGGGAACTGCTTCACAGTGTGCCACCTCTAGCTCTTGTCCCCATTTTTACTCCCTGCCACTGCTGCCAGCAGAGTGACAGTGCAGCTCCTGCACATCTTTGCCTGTCTGGTTTTAAACCCATGAGCAGGATCATCCCAGAGCAGCTCCTTGTGTGTTTTGTTCCCCAGACTGTAATTGTCTGGAGTGCCATTTGTCACTGCTCCGTGAAACATGCTGGGAATTTATTCCCAGGAGCTCCTTCTCTGAGGCAGGACTGATTTCCTGAATGAGGCAGTGTGTGAGAAGCACCCTGAGCAGCCCAGAGCTTCCTGCAAAGCACTTGATTATGCAAAGATTTATCCCAATGCTCAGGTTTAATTAAGGAGAGCCCTCTCAGAGCAGAGGGATTAATGCAGCACGTATTTTTCTGCCTAGAATTATGTTTTCAACATCATATTCAACAGCACCATGGTGCATTCCCTGCCAGTTCTGATGAACATTGTCAGCAACCTCCTCCTGCGCAGTCTGAACGTGACTGAGAGCATCCAGATCTGGAGCAACCCCTTGATTCAGGTGAGCAGCTCCCAAAAAATCACCCTGGAGCCCTGAGGAGAGGGCAAAGCATCCCTGAGGGGGAGAGGGAGAGCAGGAGCACCCCACAAACCAAGGGAAAAGCTGGCTGGGGCTGTCTGCAGGGTTTAGGAGCATGTGGAAGGTGCTGGCACTTCGTTCTGCAGGGGCTTGGGAAGAGGATGATGTGTCAGGAATTAAAGGTTCAGTGGGGCTTGGAGCAACACAGTCTGGTGGGAGGAGTTGGGGTTTGGGATGGGATGATCCCTATGGTTCTTTCCAACCCAAACCAGTCCATGGTGCTGTGAATTAATTCATTATGGGTTTGTTGGAGGTTGCCTGCAGTTCTTGGTCTGTGCAGAGCTGGAGGGGCCTTTGGGAGAGGAGAGGAGCTGCTGCAGGAGATAAATGCTCTAAAAAGTTCTTTAGTTATTATTTATTCCTCATCTAAATACTCCCAAACTTCCACAGGTGTTTTTCCTCCTGCTGCAGCTCAGGTGATCTTTACATCCACAGACTTTTCATTTTAGCATTCACAGCCATGTTCCAACTCCTAATGTAGCATTTTTTGGTCACATTCTGGCATTGAATAAATCTGATCTCTACCCCAGGATCTTCCAGACACAATTTTCAGGCTGGAGATCTATTTTGAAGCCGTGTTGCTGGGGATCATCATCACTGGGATGCCTCCCTACTTTGCCATGGACAACGCAGAAAACCACAAGGTAACACCCAGTGTCCATGCAGAGAGGCACAGGGACTTAAAAATCCTGGGATTTCCTCTTTGGAAAGATCCAAAGAAGGGTTTAAAACAATGCCAAGGCTGGAGCAGATTTGGGAGAAGCTTTTCTGTGCCAAGCCAAGCTTGGCAATAACAGCGGAACACGGGAGGGGATTCACAAAACATTAATTGTAATTAACACCTGATTAACTCCGTGTTCTCTTCCCCTGCTGCAGATCAAGGCTTACACCCAGCTGAAGATTGCAGGGCTCTATCCCTCAGCTTACTGGACTGGCCAGGCTGTGGTGGACCTGCCTCTGTTCTTCTTCATCCTCATCCTGATGATTGGCAGCCTCTTTGCCTTCCACTACGGCGTTTATTTCTACGTGGGCAAGTTCCTGGCTGTGGTGAGTCTGGGCTGGGCTGACAGCAGGGCTGCCTTCTTTTCTGCAAGTCTTTCATTTCCCTGACCTGAATTTCCCCCATGGATACACAGGGAGACGCTGCTGGAGCAAAGACAGAAAGTTTTTCATAAGGAAAATGGCTCCAAGTTGGGAGTTTATTCATAAATAAAATGAAATAAAATCAAGCAGTGCCAGGGGAGGTTTGGGTTGGACACAGGAAGAATTTCTTCACAGAAAGGGTGGTTGGAACTGGAAGGGGATTTAAACCACCAGGGTTTTCCAAGGAAATGCTCCTTTATTTCTGCTTTAAATATCTGCCATGGGTGTGGTTGGGCTGGATCAGAGTCACTGAATTTGGGGTTAAACTGAGGGATGGGGATGGGATTGGGATTGGGCTGCCTGTGGATGTGACAGCCTGATCAGAGAGAAAGAAAATTAAATGAGTTTTCCCAGAATGGACCTGAGAAGCTTTAAAAAGCTAAAAATAAACAATTATAACCAAATATTAAAAAAAGCCTACAAGTAGTGTTTTTGTAATAATCTGTTTTTCTCCTAAGATTGTTTACAAATGGGTGCCTTGTTAATTAAGCTATCAAGTGAAATGTATTAATTAAACAACTAGTCAAGTCCACCTGACTAATCTGTAAAAGAAGAGAGGATGAAATAAACAGAATTTTTACCACTTCTGACCCACCTCTGTGTCATCTCTGACCCAGCAGTAACAGCTGCCCAGGGAGGTGCTGGAGTCTCTGTCCCTGGTCACAGGCTGGACTCACATCTCAAAGCTCTTTTCCAGCCTTGTTGATCCTTAAACCAGCAGGATTTCCCAGGAAATGCTCCTTTCTTCCTGCTGCCTCAGCCTGTTTGTGCTCTGTGCTGTGGCTGCTGACTGCTGCTGATGAGAAGGGCACAGTGACTTTGGGCAGAGCCCATCTCTGCAGAGAGCTGCAGATGGGATTAAGTGCAGGACACCACCAGGCTTCATGTCTTTGATAGTCAGAGCAGGCTTCCCTGTGAACCTGGCTGGAATTGAGAGGAATCAGCTTTTCCCAGCTGCTTTTCCAGGGTTAATCAGGTTTGGGATGTGGCTGCAGGGCTGCTTTTCTGCCCTTGTTTGAATTTCTACAAAAATGCCATGGTGGAATTCTTACTATTTGCCAGAATCTTGAGGTCAGCATTTATGGGAGCCTGTATTACAAAAAAAAAAAACCCAAAAAAACAATAAAAATGGGAAAGAGTTTATAGGAAGCTGAAGTGGGGGGGAGTTTTTGCCTCTCCACACATTCTTTAATTTGTGTCTTTAATAATACATTCTCTATGCACCAAAGCAGCAAAATGCATCAAATAAAGTGACAATGATAAATCCACAGTTCTGTGTCACACTGAGGTAATTCCTGTTGATCCTTGTGCATAAAAATTCCTGGTGCACATTCCCTGAGGAGCCTTTCCTGTCTCTGCAGATTTTTTGCCTGATTGGTTACGTCCCCTCAGTCGTGCTCTTCACCTACGTGGTCTCCTTCACCTTCAGAAAAGTCCAGAACACGAAGGAATTTTGGTCATTTATATTTTCAGTGGTGAGTGACTTGGCCTGGAGCTGGGATAAGTGGGAAGATTGGTGATTTCCAAAGCCACAGCAAAAAATCCCAGTTATTTTGTGGAGCTGTGTGTCCCTATTGCACAGAAAATGGGATTTTTTTACCAATGTCTCACTCACTGCCATAGGCTGAGTGATAAAAACTTTAAGAAAAAATACCTTAAATTAATTAACTTATGCTGAGAGAGTCTGAAGTGGATGAAAATTTATATTTTCCCCCTTTTCCTTGGTACAGACAGCCCTGCTCTGCACAGTTGTCACTGAGGTGTCCTTTTTCCTGGACCATTACCTGGTAACCACCATCCTGCATTATGTCTTCTCCATCTTCATTCCTATTTATCCCCTTATTGGCTGCCTGATCTGTTTTATAAAGGTAAGGGGACTGCAGGGGTCCTTTCCAGAGCCCTTGGAGGTACCTGGGGTTGGGTTGGTGTCTTTGGGGTGTCCTCTGTAGCCACTTAACACATGAAGATAGAGAAAAATCACCTTTTTCCTATGAAGTGAAGTGGTTTGGTTTTAAAATGGGGAAAGCAGCAAGTTTTCCATGAAATTTCCTTTCTCTGAGTGGAAGGAGCCTACAAGAAAGATGGAGAGGCACTTTAAACAAGGGGTGGAGTGACGGGACAAGGGGGAATGGCTCCAAGCTGACAGAGAGCAGGGTTAGATGGGATTTTGGGAAGAAATTCCTCCCTGGGAGGGTGCCCAGAGCAGCTGTGGCTGCCCCTGGATCCCTGGCAGTGCCCAAGGCCAGGCTGGACGGGCTGGGAGCAGCAGGGGATGGAATGAGAGAGGCTTTGAGGTCCCAAACCATTCCATGATTCTGTGATATTCCAAGGAAAACCAGGTGAGCGAAGCCAGGGATGGGATGGGGGTTGATTGGGAGTGGGTGCTGAAAGCAGGAGCAGCCCCAGGCTTTGGATGGAGCTGTTGGATTTTTATTTTTTTGGAGAGTCTCTGCAGAGCTCAGGAAGTGCTTGAGCACCAGAGCCTGGATGAGATGAAAGGGGTGTAGGAAATGGAGTCTCTGTAGATGGTTCTTTACCTGACCATGCTTTTCCCTGAATTCCAGGTCTCATGGAAAGGCCAGAGTGACAGTGGGGGATTCCACGACCCCTGGGACCGGCTGCTGGTGGCAGTTCTGGCTGTGAGCATGGCTTTGCTTTCTGTTTTATAGAGGGAAAATTCCCAATCTGCTGCAGGGAATTGTGCTTCCTGCTGGGATCCCCTTCTGTCCATCATCTTTATCAGTAAAGATTTGCTCTGATGCTGAGCCTGCAGCACAAGCAGAGCCAGGAAAGCTGCTGTGCCCACCAGCTCAACATCTGCCATCCCCATAGCCTGATTAACACTGCCAGTGTTAATTCTGATTATTATGGGAATCCCTGCTGATGGAGCAAGAGCTCCAGAGCAAGGACAGCCCCTTCTCTGCACAAAAACCCCAAATAATTGCTTTTAAATCTAAACCCTTTGGTTGTGCCTCCTCACACCCGCTGAGCAGCATGTAATGATATATTTAATATTCTTGGCAACACCAACACGTGTGTGGTGGTGCAGGGCTGGAGCTTCTTGTCCCTCATTGCTCTGGTGGGGTCACGCCAGGGTGCCCAGCCTGGCTGGTGACCAGGGTGGTTCTGTCTGCCTCAGCCCTACGTGCAGTGTGTGGTGTGGCTGTTCCTGCTGCGCTGCTTCGAGCTGAAGAACGGGGGCAGGACGGTGAGAGAAGATCCCTTCTTCAGGTCAGTCTGCTGGATGGTTTTCATCCAAGACATTGCCCAAAGAAACTGGTTTTGAAGGTGCTGGTGCTGGTTAAACTGGGGTGTGCAGTGGGAGAAATAAAATCTCTTTTACTATATCCCATCAGAAATTATCACTGAAGTGCAGAAATGGGGGGTTTATTTCCTCTCAAGTTACATCAGAAAATCCGAAATTTTGTAAGAATTCCCTTACAAAAAAGGGAATTTTGTTTTACAAGGATTCCCTTGTTAAAACAAGGGAATTGCCATTCCCAGTGCATGGCCAGGGAGGCTGTACCCCCACAGAGGGCTCAGCAGGGAGGTGACACAGTGGCAGTCCCTGAGCTCCTCCTGCTCTGGGAAATGCCTTTGAGGCAGCCTCAGCTGAGAGCTGAGCAGGGGCCTGCTGCTGCTTTCCTCCCTCTTAGGAAATGTTTTACCAAAGCCAAGCCCTGGAAGTTCCCAGATGTGCCTCATGAGGAGAACGAGGACGAGGATGTGAAGGCAGAGAGGCTGAGAGTCAAAGAGATCCTGAGCAGCCCCAGGAGCGAGGAGGTAAAACCCAAACCCCCCAGCTGGGGCTCCCCAGAGCTGCTGGGATCTGCAGCCACCTCCCTCCTCTCTGCCAGATGCCAGCAATCCTGGTCAGCAGCCTGCACAAAGAGTTTGATGAAAGGAAGGAATTTCTTCTGGGGAGAAAAATAAAGAAAGTGGCAACCAAACATGTTTCCCTCTGTGTGAAGAAAGGTTGGAGTTCAGTTGCTTGCTGTTGTTTCATTTATAAAAACAACTCTTGGAACCTTTTATGTGATCTCGTGGGCAATGTTTGTGTTGTCCCTTTTCAGGAGAAATCCTGGGTTTGCTGGGACCCAATGGAGCTGGGAAAAGCACATTAATTAATATGCTTGTTGGAGAGATTGAACCAACCAGTGGGCAGGTACGTTCCATGCCACAGTTACACAGAAAATCAACCCACATTTCAATTTTATTTTTATTATTGCAAGCACTCCTGAGGGCATTTTGCTAAAACCATGCAAAAACCATGCAAATGTTTCCTGCTAAAAACCTGCAAAAAGAGTTTGGAAATTTGTAATATTCTGAATTAAAGTCTGGGCATTTTCCTCACAGGTTCTGATGGGAGATGATTCCTTGGGGCTGAGCAGTGAGGATGACTCTGTGAAATTCGTGGGCTACTGTCCCCAAACAAATCCTCTGTGGCCAGATATCACATTGCAGGAGCACTTTGAGATTTATGGTGCTATCAAAGGCATGAGCCAGTCTGATATTAAAGAGGTCATCAAGCGGTGAGTAGTTCATTACAGAAATCTTTGTGCTTCAACTGAAGTTGCTTTAGGTTTTTTTATCTTCAGTCTTATTGCTTGGAAGGATTTTGGCTTTTTTTATTTTCAGCCTTATTGCTTGGTTGAAAGATTTTGGCTTTTTTGATGTTTTTTTTCCCCTTCTCACCTTTCCTACTGCAGTTTTTGTTTCCATTTCAGTTTGGTTTTAAGCTTGGTTGAAATTCTGTGACTGTGAATTTGTAGATGAGGAGATGAAGGTTCATCCACACAAAATTCAGTTGGGATTTTTAATTTTCATATATGTTTTTTTAAAGTTATTTTTCTAAGGTTATAAAGTACTGACAGTGACCTTTGTAGAGGCTGCAAGGATGGGGAGTCCTGAGCTTGGAGCTGTTTCTGTTGTCACCATGGCTTCTCCAGGACAGGTGGCTTTGTATGGAAGCTCCAATTCTGCTTTTGCTCTGCTTTTTTTTAAACTTGATACACAAATATTTGTAACTGAGCTCTTCAAAAGGAGCTGTTTTGCCTTCTCTGGTGAGGGGGAAGCCAAACCATCCCCCTCCCAACCCTTCCCACCTGGTCCTTCCCTCCTCAGCATCGCCAGCGTGCTGGATTTAAAGGACCACCTGCAGAAGACGACAAAGAAGTTGGGCATGGGGCTGAAACGCAAGGTAAGGGGGGCTCTGGGGTCACCCTGGGGGTCCCCAGCACCCTCCCTGTCCTCACCCTGCCCCTCTGCCTTCCCCCAGCTCTGCTTTGCCCTCAGCATGCTGGGCAACCCGCGGGTGACGCTGCTGGACGAGCCCTCCACCGGGATGGACCCCAAAGCCAAGCAGCACATGTGGTGAGTGCTGCCCGTGGCTGCAGGGAGCAGCTGCTCTGGGGGCAGCTACCCCTGCTCAGCTGCCCCTCTGTGAGTAACTCAGGGGGCTGGGTTGGAGGGACCATGAAGATGATCCAGTTCCACCCCACTGCCGTGGGCGGGGATGTCTTCCACTAAAGCAGAATAATTTCTGCTCAATATCCCATCTAACCCTGCCCTCCATCAGTGGGAAGCCATTTCCTGTGTCCTGTCCCTCCATCCCTTGTCCCCAGTCCCTCTCCAGCTCTCCTGGAGCCCCTTTAGGCCCTGGAAGAGGCTCTGAGGTCTCCCCAGAGCTTCTGTTTGGATGAACACCCCCAACACTCAGCCTGTGTCCATAGCAGAAGTGCTCCAGCTCTTGGAGCATCTCCGTGCTCTCCTCTGGACTCGCTCCAGCAGCTCCTCCTGTGCTGGGAGCCCCAGAGCTGGACACAGGACTGCAGGTGGGGTCTCACAAGAAGGGGAGCATCAGCCCAACCTGTGTGCCAGGTGCAGCACAGCTGTGTCCTCTCCCAGAGCAACTTGGGAATCACAGGCTTGAAGGTCAAAAGAAATCCTTAAAGTAATATAGAATGCAGATTCGAGCTGTGTTTAGGAAGCTCAGGTGTTAATTGTTGCTGTGGGAGGGGCATTAATCCATAAACAGAGGGTCCATCCCAGCCCCCCTTTCCTACTGAGGCAGGATTTGGTGTTCCCTGCCAGATGGCTTTGTGCAGGGCTGGTTTGGGTTGTGTTTTGCAGGCGGGCAATCCGAGCAGCCTTTAAGAACAAGGAGAGAGCAGCAATCCTGACCACGCACTACATGGAGGAGGCAGATGCTGTCTGTGACCGTGTGGCCATCCTGGTGTCAGGGCAGCTCAGGTACCCCCAGATCCCCCCTGGGGCAGGGGGCACGGGCAGCTGTGCTGATACACTCCTCTGAAAATAAAGATACATTTGGTACCTTAAATTTGGTACCTTAAATGAATCCTTCCCAGCAAAAAAGGTTCTTTTGATCTGTTCGAGGTTAGGCTGTTCTTGGGTAAAACTTGTGTTTTCTGTCTGTAATTTATAGGTGTATAGGTACTGTCCAACACCTGAAGAGCAAATTTGGCAGAGGATACTTCTTGGAAATGAAACTAAGGGAAACAGCAGATGTGCAGCAGGTGGAATATCTGCAGAGCCAGATTTTGCACATCTTCCCCAACGCCAACCGCCAGGAAAGGTGAGGTTTGGCAGATACCCAGAAAATATTGATGTTAATCAAACCCTCTGATTTCACAGCAGCTCCTTGGCACCGGGGAAGGAATGTAAACATTTACACACAGCTTTAAAAAAAAAAGAGGAATAAAAATAGGAAGGGATCTGGAAGGCAGCAGAGCCGGGGCTGGCAGGGCGGGGCCGGGAGCTCACGCAGATGTTTGGCACGGAGGAAGCAAAACTGGATTTCTGCATAGCTGTTGCCTGACAGCTTCCTCCTGGGTCAGGGCCCCCGGGAAAGGGCTGAAACCCGAGTTTCTGACTCTCTGCCCTTACCTGGAAATGCCTGAGGTCTCTGGGGGTCTCAGCTGCAGGGTGGGCTGGCTGCTGTTCCAGCAGCAGCTCTCAGTCTGTGCCGGAGGGTTTGGCTCGGTGACTGGAGACTCCACAAAGGGCACTGCAGGCATCCAGAGCAGTGTGGTCCTTCAGGGACTGTGATTGAGATCCTTCCTCAAACGTGGGAGATGGGAGGGAGGGAGGGGAGAGCTCCCTGTGCAGGGCAGAGCAGCTCCCTGGGCTGCAGTGGGGGTTGCAGGAAGGCTGTGTGGTGCAGACTTCCAGGACGTGCTGGAACCTCCCTGCTCGGCTGAAATCCAAACCCTCAGGACTCTGGGAGCTCCAGGAAACAAACCTGCCATGAGTAAGCAGAATAGAAAAGATTGACTCTGAGTGGAGGAGCATGAACTCAGAACAGTCCCGGGTGGTCTCAGCTGCTGCACCTGGAGCTGCATCACTGCCCTTCCTGTGTGACTGTGACAGTCAGAATGCTGCAGAAACCCTCAGGAAAGGAGTTCAAACCCATTCCATGGGGTATTAATATTTGTACTTGGAGTGATTTTGCTTGAAGCTAAATTTGTTTTGCTTCTTTGTTCCAGTTTTGCTTCCATCTTGGCGTATAAAATTCCTAAAGAAGATGTACAGTCACTTTCACATTCTTTTTCCAAGCTGGAGGAAGGTAATGAAGCACTTGCCATACATCACACACACAAATCCTTCTGTCTCCCATAACTGACACTTCTGCCACGTGATGTCACTCCTCCATTTCTGTTCCAAATTTATTTAACTTCATTTTCTTTTATTGATGTTTGTCCCCTTGGGAGCTCAAGAGTAAGTGAAGTGTCCCTAAATCTGCTCCTATTGATTCTTTCACCAGTAAAACACGCCTTCAACATCGAGGACTACAGCTTTTCCCAAGCAACACTGGAACAGGTGTGTGAAATTCTGGTTTGTGAGTTTAAACCCTGTTTTTTGAGTGTAAACCCTCCCAGGTGAAGGTGTCAGAGGGCAGGGATAGATGGGATATTTGGAAGGAATTCCTCCCCATGAGGGTGGGGAGGGGCTGGGATGGAATTCCCAGAGCAGCTGTGGCTGTCCCTGGATCCCTGGCAGTGCCCAAGGCCAGGCTGGACAGGGCTGGGAGCACCTGGGACAGTGGGAGGTGTCCCTGCCATGGCAGGGGTGGGATGGGATGAGCTTTAAGGTCCTTCCAACCCAGAGCATTCCATGATCCCATAATGATGGACCCTGTGCAGGCAGCTCATCCCCCAAGCTCTGCTCTCAGCCACTGGGGCTTTGCTGATGCCTGTTGGGGCATTTTTGGGAAACTAAATTCCCTTTTTGCAAAGTGAATCACATCTGCCAGCTCTCCAGCTCCTCCTTTATTCCCTCTAAAAATAAGATGCCAACTGCAGTGACTGGAAGAAGGCAAATGTGTGGTATTAGTGGAAAAGCTGCTCTGATTTATTCCAAGAACAGACATTTGCTGTTTGTAGCTGGAAGGAGGGTGAAGCTGAGACTTTTAATTGCTTATTGTGGATTAATTATTGCTGACAATTAATGTCCTTCAGTGTTCAACTTCCCTTTCATTGTGCTCTTGAAGAAAAGAGGTGGGAGGGTAGGGGTAAGGAGAAAAACCTCAAAATACTAAAAATATTAGAAATGTCTTACTCAGAGATGAAGCAATACATTGAATAATCATGAGGATTTTAGCATGAGTTGTATTTGTGCCCAAGGAGGTTCCTACAAGGAGCATGGGGTGTTCTCCCTGTTTTCCAGGTGTTTGTGGAGCTGGCTAAAGAGCAGGAGGAGGAGGACAGCAGCTTTGGCACCCTGAACAGCAGCCTGTGGTGGGAGAGGACGCAGGAGGACAGAGTCATTTTCTGAGCTCCTCGTGCTCCTGTTGGTGCCAGCACCAATCTTCCCTCTGCTCCTGGAGCTGGGCTGGGCAAGGACAGCTGGGTTTGGGAGCCCTGAGCCTGTCCCACCATCCTGGCCTTGGGAATAATGCCACAGGAGCCGTGAGCATCCCACTGCTCCTCTGGCTGACCCCAAATCCTCCTCCCCTCGCTGCTGCCGGGCTGTGCTGGGCAGGAGGCAGTGCCACAGCATCTCCTGGAGCTGGTGGCTGGTGCAGGAGCTGCCACCTGCCTTCCCCTGGCTCTGCTGGGCAGGAGGTTGGGCTGTGCTTCAGGAAAAGCCTGTCTGAGCAGAGCCAGTCTCTGCAGGAGCATCCTGCCCCGGGGCTTTGCAGGGTCTGGCTGGGCACTCTGCCCATCCTGCACACCCATCCCTGCTCCTCCACCAGCCCAGCCACCCCTGCTGCTGCTTTGAAGATGCACCTGCTTAGAAGAGAGGGGAAAAAGCCCTGCAGAGTCCCTGGGCCTCTGCAAGGAGGGTCCTGAACTGCACGGCCAGCTCGGCTTGGCGTCCCACCAGCCCGAAATGTTCATCTGCAGAGCAAAGCTGGCACCTGCTGGCACTGCCAGTCCCCTCCCCTGCAGGCTGGCAGCTGTGTGCTGCCAGGTGGGGCTTGTCCTGCATGCTGGGGGTGGACAGAGTGGAGGTGGCTCTGCCCTGTCTCCATTCAGAGCTGTCTGATTCTTGCCCTGGCTGTGACAAGGTGTGTCCTGCCAGCTGCTCTCACACACAGTGCTTTGGACATGGTTGCATTTTCCTTGCCAGTGCATTCATGAGCTCCAGTGTTTCCCACTCCCTCGTTGTTGTGGTTGCAGTCAGTGACACAGGGCCCATTTTGTCACCCCCTTTGTAAAACCCCAAATAAAAGGGTCCCAATTCACAGCCTCACCCATAAGAAAGGTGCCTTTGGTTTGCATAGAAGCACTAAGAAGAGTAGAAAATGTGGTCCTGAGATATGACAGATGTATGTTGAAATATTTTTTGTTGTTTTTTTCTACACAAAGCTATCATCACTTTTTTTTTGGTTTTATAAGGGGAAATTAAAGATTGCTCCCAGTTCATTTTGCTCTGCAATGAACAGACACAGAGATGTGTTTCTATTGAGACATTGGCTTCATAAGTCATATCATTTATGTATCTTCACTTTAAAGTTAGAAAAGTCCTTGGTTTTTCTTGAGAAAACTCGAAAAAATGGGTAAAGTTGGAGTTGTGTGTCCCAGCTGTTTGTAATTCCCAGGCAATAATGTGTGTGATATGTTTGATAATGGTTTATCAGTGTGTTCAGCCACAATCTGTTTCCATCAGTTTCTTGTATAGGGAAATGTGAACTCCTTATGCAGAATTTGACTTCCTCTTTTGTACCCATAGGTTGCATAGAAATGCACAGCTTTGGGTTTGTAGTTAAAATTTGAGCCCAAGCCCTGCAGAAAGCCCTGAACATCCCAGGGAAGCACAGCCCTGGAGGTGAGGGATTGAAAGGACAGGATTAAAGCAAACTGCAGCTCCAGCACTGCCTGACAGGGGTGAAACTTGTCAGAAAAGAAACAAAAACCCTCAGAATCAGGTGTTGTATTTATTTCACCCCAGCCCTGCTGCTGGCTGGGAGCTCTGAGCTTTTGCCTTTATTTGGAGCAATTTGAGACTCAGAATTCTCTTGGCACTTCCCCATGCAGGTGTGTACAAGTCGAGTGCATTTTTCCCAAATCCCACATTTCTTTGGTGTCTTTTTGACAGTGGTGTTTCAGCCAAGTGTCACCTGCCCATCAATCCAGCACCTTCTTGTCACCTGGATTTAGGGAATTAGTGTGGCCTGTGAGCAGCCTTGGTGTCTGCCTTGAATTTATTCTTTCACTTGGAGTTGATTGTCTGTAAAATAGTTCTGTGCTGTCTGTTTCAGATGTTTCCATATTTCCTCACATTTCAGATGGGAAAACTTTGGATTAGAAGCCAGATGAGCTCAGTTTGGTGCTGTTGTTTATCTTGGAGGAGCCCAGTGGATGGTGGCACTGGTTTTTGTGCAGCTACAGAAAGGACAGAGAATTTGGCTCTTTAAATTAATTCCCTGTTTGGGTGGGATCTGTTTGACCTGGTGACATCATGGGTTAAAGTAGGGCAAAATTCCACCCCAAAACATCACTGTCCTCATGTCAGAAGTGTTTCAAAGTGTCCTAAAATGTCTGTAATTGCCAGAATAGGGAAAAAAACCAGGCAGAATTAAACCAGGGAATGAATGGCCTGGAAACAGCAGATTTATTCCTGGCATTTGGAGCTCTTTGTTCAGCTGTTATCAGTGCCATTCCAAATCCCATCCACCCAACACACACCCAGCCTGTGCTCCCAGAGATAAACTGGATTTGGGGGGATTTGGGGTAAATCCAGCCAGTTTGGGTCACCGTTCCCAGGTGAGCTGGTTGGAGCTGCCTTGCAGGGTTCCTGTGATGTATCCAAAGCTTGGATTTCACCTTCACTTCGTGCTCTTGTGACAAGGTTGTATTTTTCTATGGAGAGTTTCACGTGTCTGGTTCTGTTTAGGTTCCCAAGAAATGTCCTTATTTAAGAGTATCTCTGTTCAGCAAGTGAGATTTATTGCACAGCCAACTCGCAGAGCTCTGGCAGCAGAAGCAGAGGGTGTCAGCCTGAAGGTGACACACTTGGGACACTCCTCCTGCTGCTGGGCCACGTGCAGCTCCTTTTACACACTTGCCTTTCTTTCAGCTCTTGGCTGTTCTTGTAAAGGTGAGAGTTTTCCTTTCCCAGCTGGAAGTACTTCCAAAATAAAGATGGATTGGGTTGTTAAACTCTTGGCTTTCTGGTTGCTTTGGAAATGGGGATGGTTCTCAAAGCCTGGGCTGATTTTTGGGGGGCACCAGAGTTTCAGGTGGTTGGGCTCAGGCAGAGTGTTGGGGGCTCTGGCTGTGGGCATGGCCAGGGCTCCTGGGCTGCAGTATTTACAGATTTTAAACCGAATTTGGGGGAATTTTGCAGTGTTGCAACACTGGGATGCGACCGCCCTGCTTTGGGCTAGCAGTGACCCCAGGCAGCTGTGTGCTCCTGGCATGGCACACTGTCCATCTGCAGGGGTGAATTACCTCCAGCCACTGGGAAATTGCCCCTGTTTAAAAAAACAATTCATTTTTGTGCCTGGAGCTGTGCCCAGGGTGAATTCTCTGGGTGGGTGCTGGCTCTGGGGCGAGGGGCAGTGGAATGGGGGAGGTTTGGCTGAAGGTGGGGCATGAAAAGAGCTCTGCAGGGATGGAGGGCTCTGGCTGCTCCTGGCCCGTGCTCTGGGACTGCCACACCCTGCTGAGGAAGAGGAGGAGGTGATCACCTCCAGCCTCATGGGTCAGTGAAAGGTGCAGCAAAATAAAAGGGGTTTGTGCTCCCTGAGCTCCTCAGTGGAGAGGAAATGACCCCAAAGAAGTTTAGTCTGAGCTTGGGGACAGTTCCCAGCAGCTCACACTCCTTTGTTTCTGATGGTGTGGAAGGGCAGTGTGCCATGCATTTTTTTTTTTTAAGCTGTAAAATTAATTTGCTCCCTTATAATGCTGCTTTTAAGAGATGTCCAGAAAGTCCCTGATTTAACATGCTGAATTTCCCTTTGATAAGGGCTTCCTGGAGCTCTTGCTATTCCTTTTTCCTTTGCTTGCCATGTGCCCCTGGAAGGGTCTGGCTGCCTTCCCAGCCTCTCTCTTCCTCCTGGCAGATACAAGGGCTGGTCCTGAGTCCCCTTCTCAGAAATCCTCTGGAGCATCTGCTTGGAGGATTTAATTAATGAGAAAAAATATCAGCAGATATTAAAATATCAGCAGATATAATAATGTTATATCAGCAGATATAGTAATATTAATATCAGCAGATATAATAACATTAATATTAGGAGATATTTTAATATCTGCTGCTGCTCAGTGAAGCCCTGAGGGGTTGGGGTCCCACTTCAGGAGCAGGATGGGGAACCCCAAGGGGTGCTTGGAGCAGGTGTCATTTTTCTGTGAAAAAGCCTTTTCTGCAGCTAATGTGCAGTCAGGCAGGGCTGGGTCCCACACTGAGGCACAGGTTTGGGTCAGAAAAGTGCTGTTTTTTGGTGAAGTGCACTCAGATGGGCTTTCTGCAGTCACGAGGAGCCTTGCCCGTTGCTCCCCTGTTGCCCAACACGAAGGGATGCCGGAAAACACTTCTGCTCCTCTCCTAAATGAGCTCATGCCTTGAAAATGAGAAAATCAGCAGCTGCAGCAGAGCCCCAGCCTTTTGTTAAGCAACAACCCTGTGGTTTGAGGCAGCTCTGCAAATCAGATGCACAATCCTCGAGCTGTGGAAGTTCCGGGACAGTCAAATTCATTTAACTCATTGAATTATCCCGTGGCCATGCACCCTCCCAGCTCCTTTGCATTCCCTGGCTTCTCTGATTTCCTCACCCCCCTGTTCTGAAGGCAGATCCACTGGAAAGATGTTTTGTTTTTAAACGCCCAACACGCTCCATCCTGCTTCCAGCTGTGCAGCAGCTGCTGGAAAAGCAATTAAAAGGAGTGGAAATTGGGAAAAAAAACCTCTCAAAACAACGGGGAAAGGAGAAAGAAGAACTAAAACCCCCTTGGTGCTGGGCTGCAGGATTTGTCTGAGCAGAGGAAGGAGCATTTGCTGAGTCAGGCTCTGGGCACCATGGGGACAAGGCAGCAGAGTTGTCCCTCTGGAGAAGCTGGGCCAGGGACAAAGTGGCTCTGCCACCTCTCAGGAGTGAAGGTTCACCCCAGCCAACTCTGCTGCCTGCTGGCAACATCTGCAAGAGTGAGTGCAGCCCTGCAAAGCGCGCTGTAAACACCCCCAGGCTCGGGGCCAGCTGGTTGTAGGTGCTGTTCCAAGGTTGGGTCATTGCTCCAGGAGTTTTGGGAGGGTTTGCCCGGCTGACGTCAGCCCGGAGAGGGGCATGGCCACCGGGCTGGGCCACCGAGCTCAGCCTCCCTGGGGCTGAAAAGGGACCAGCAGCCCGGACACCTCAGAGCTGCAGGAGACCTGGGCCCCATGGAAAACACTCCAGCAGGTAAGGAGTCACAGAGCTCTCCTTTTATCAAGGGGAAAATTAATTTGGAAGTAGGGGTGGATGGATTCTCCATGCAGGGTTTGAGTTTCCATGAGGGGATGATGAGTTTTTTCCTAATTAGTGCTTTATGATGCTGAATGCATCAAAGTTGCAACTTCCAGCTCTGTTTTCTGGTGGACTGTAAGTTCACAACAAAATATTTTACAGGAAAAGGAGAAAAATATTTGGCTTTTCTGGGTGTGTGTGTGTATTTTGGTTTCCCCATGGCTGCAGGTGAAGAGCTGCAGGTAGAGCACTGGGTGATGATCCCTCCCTTTGCTCTCCTCCTCCTGCCCTGCTGCCAATAAAGGCATTTAAAAATACAAAACCCCCAAATTTCACTTCTCTGTATGAGCTGAAGTGTTGGGCTTTCATTAAGGACAGGCTTAGAGTTGTTATTTTCAAGTTGAGAGTAGGAAATAACAACCTGTTCCAGTCTGAGTTGGAGTGGAGTCCGTGCAAATCTGTGTCAGATTTATCAGATGCAAACACAAAAAACTGCAAGAACTGGCAAAGAGGAGGGGATAGAAAGAGAAGCTTTGCACTCTCCACGTGCAGGGATCCATCCTTGGCTCTGGGAAAGGAAATTTCCTCTGGGAAGTGTGAGATGCACCATGGATTTCTCCCTTTGAACTCAAAATTGAGAGGCTCCTGCCAGAGCTCCTAAAGAGCAGCTTGATTTTAGGAACTAAAATCATAAACTCCAGGAATTATTCAGGTTGGAAGGGACCTCTAAAAGTCTCCCAGTCCAACCCCTCTACAAGGAGCAGGACATCTTCAAACAGCCCTCAAAAAGTTAAATTTATAGAGGAAAACTGTGTGAAGAGGTGCCAAAGAGGAATTCCCTGAGATAGTAAATAAAGGGATTATATGGGATGTGCCTTCCTGAGCCAGCTTCTGGTAGAGCAGAGCTGCTCACAGGATCCAGGAGAAGTTATTGCAACACCTTGGCAGGGAGTTCCTGGAGAGCAGGAAGTTTGGATGCACTTAATGAGCCCCTGGAGACATCCAGCTTTACAAGTGATGCTCTTAACTGGATTAAAGTTTCCCAAACATCACTGCCTCCAGTTCTGATGTGTTTATTTTGCCTTCTGCATCTGAAGTTTTGAGCCTCAGGCCACACAGAGGATTCTCCCTTGGCTGTATTTTTTACCTTTTTGGTATAATTATCTAATAGATTAATTAGATATCTAATTTTAAGTTAATAATAGTTAATATTTATGGGGTATCTGACTGAAAGTTAAATTCCACAGCCTTCATAGGCAGCATCACTTGTTTGAATTCCTGTCTTCATGTTTGGCTCCCAGTGGTATTTGCTCCTTGCTCCACAGGCAAAAAGTAAATTAAAACTGGTAGAAACTCGGTTAAAATTTTCTAAAAAGTTTGAGATTTGCTCCATCATTTTAAAATTGCTTGTTGTGACTGTAGAGATTCCGTGCATCTTTTAGAGACCATCATGTTTTCCTTGTTATCCAAACACCACCACACTTTGTTTACTACCCAAACATCCTGGGCTGAGCTGCTGCTTGCAGTTCATGACTGAAATCCAGACCTGAGGAAAAAAAATAAGTTAAAAAGTGACACTTCCTAGAAATCTCTTCCTATTTACCTTTAATCTTCAGTGCAGGCAGCAGGGAGGAAGTGTGGGAGGAAGCTTGGGCAGGGAAAGAGAGATAAAATAAGGTAAGGTAAGCCCTGTGATAACACAGGAGGTAAACTGGCACCCTGGATCCCTTGCCCCTGCAGTACACAAATATTTAATTATTCCAAAAAACAAGCAGTGAAGGGAAGAGAGCAGTGGAACCCTTTATTAACTCCAGCTGCCCAATCCATGAAATCAGGAAGGCTGTCCAAGGGGAATGGAGCACTCTGCCTTTGAGGTTGCTTTGATTTGGGGTTTTTATGATTTTGGGTTTCAGCCTTTTGAAAGGATTAAACCACAAAAACATGTTGGGAGGTTCCCTGTTCCCCTGGGAAGGGGGTGAAACCCATCACTCTGAAGGTGCTCCTGTTCTTGCTGCTTGGCCACAGGATTGAATCTGCTGCTGAAAGAAATATCCCAAAGAAATACTCCCTGCTCAGCATTTAGGAGGATGTTAAGGAGCACATGGGTGTTCTAATCCTGCCCTGCTCTAACTGCATTAAAGTTCCTTAATATTTGGGTGAAAACAGAACAAACTGCTCTCTTACCAGCCTGGTGAAGGCAGGCAGTGGCAGTCTCTATTTTAGGTTATTTTCAGCATCTGCCCAGTGTTTGTAACGTGGTTCAGAACCCAGAGCACGTGAGCAGTGCTTTGCCAACAAACCACGTGTCTGAGGCCAGACACAAATTCATTTCCTGCAGTGAAACGTGGAAAGTGAGCAGTTGTCTGTTCCACAAAGCCTCTCTGGGATGGGGAAGGATGAGGAAGGATGGGTCTGGGAGAGGAAGGATGAACTTGGGTGAGGAAGGATGAATTTGGGATGAGGAAGAATAAATTTGGGTGAGGAAGAATGAGTCTGGATGAGGAAGGATGAAGCTGGGTGAGGAAGGATGAACCTGAGTGAGGAAGGATAAATTTGGGATGAGGAAGGATGAACCTGGGTGAGGAAGGATAAATTTGGGATGAGGAAGGATGAATCTGGGTGAGGAAGGATGAACCTGGGTGAGGAAGGATGAACCTGGGTGAGGAAGGATAAATTTGAGTGAGGAAGGATGAATTTGGGATGAGGAAGGATGAACCT